AATAGGAGCAGATGAACCACAAGAAGCTCTCCCCCAGGGATTCCTGGGAGGTGTTCTCAAACACACCAGCACTTTTTCTGATTTTGCTCCTCAATTTCTTTAGAGGAGCAGTTACACGGAATACCTTTCCTGACCTTGCCTTCAAGGTCACTGTTGATCCCGGGGCTTTAGCAGAGTCAGCAGTCTTGTTTAACGTTGCCTTTGCCCTGCTTGCTAATTCGGCTTGGATTCACTCAGTTCCTGGAATTTCGGTCCTGATTTCATAATAACAAATAAAACAACTTTGGAGGGATAACCAGCTGTGACTGTTGAGTCACAACTCTAATTTATTAAGGAACTCTGTGAAATCCCAGTGTTCAGTAAGAGTTCCTATAAGAATAGAGTTATAAAAGGAATTCCTTTTAGAGTTAAATATTAACTTGTGATCAATTTTCCAGAGGAGTTTGGAACTGAAATTGGTGAAGGTGAAAAACTGCCCTTTGGGGTGTTGCAAACATTCCTGTTTAGAGTTGATCCTCAATTTGTTCTGGGTGATGATACTTTGGTGAGTTCTTTTACTTATTCAGATATTTTAAAAAAATACCTACACATTATTTTGGAGAAATCCTGAGGCAGTGAAATAATTCAATTGCAGATGTTTCAGATTGGCATGTGAAGGGTTCTGTTTAATGTTAAACTGGTGTATCTCTAGCAGGACACCTTTGCAGTGGGGGGAGGATCAGAAGGGTACCAGCCATAGTGTAATGGTTTGCTAGCTCAGCTATATTTCCCAGGATTCCTTTTCTTGTATGTTTTCAGTTTGATTGAGCTATTGAGTCAGGCAGTTGTGTTTGACTCTTTGTGATCCCGTGGACTGTAGCCCACAAGGCTCCTCTGTCCATGGGATTTTCCAGGCAAGAATACTGGAGTGGGTTGCTATTCTCTTCTCCAAGGGAATCTTCCCCACACAGGGATCGAACCCATGTCTCTCATGTCTCCTGCACTGGCAGGTGTGTTCTTTACCACTAGCGCCACCTGGGAATGATCTCTATTGAGTTATAAGAGATATTTTATCCTGAGAGTTGCACCTGCCTTCCTCCAGCCAGGCTTTCCTTGCCAAACAAAATCATGGAAGGTTGACACTGACATGGCCTGTACGGATTACCTAGTTCAATTGGGTCCTAAAGTTGGCCCATCATAAGACTCATCTGGGAAGTATTTTTTGAAATATGGTTTCCCTAGTACCACCCTGGAAGATTCCAGTTCAGTAAATAAGCTCAGGTTTATCATCTGAATTTTATGAAGTCCTTAGGTGGTTAGAATGGTCAGCTAAGTGGGTTTGCTGCTCATTGCAATTTTCAAAGTGTGGTCTTTGGACCAGGAGTACTAGCATCACCTAGAATCTCGTTTTGGACACATAAATTTCTGCACCACCACCCACCCCTGCCTTGGACCTTCTGAATCAGAGGCTCTGTGTTTGGGGGCCTGGCACTCTGTGCTTTAACAAACCCTCCAGGGGATTCTGATGCATGATAAAATTTGAGAGCCAAATTGAGTTTAATCCCTTGTTTCATAGTTAATGAAACTGAGTCTAAAGAGAAGGGACACATCTTTGGCTTAATATAAGGAGATGAGTCACTCTTTCCACTTTCTGGAAACAGTGACAGAATTTTATTTTCTTGGGCTCTAAAATCACTGTAGATGGTGACTGCAGCCATGAAATTAAAAGACACTTGCTTCTCGGAAAAAAAGCTATGACAAACCTAGACAATGTATTAAAAAGCAGAGACATCACTATGCTCAGGAAGGTCCATATAGTCAAAGCTATGATTTTTTCAGTGGTCATGTATGGATGTGAGAGTTGGACTATAAAGAAAGCTGAGTGCTGAAGAATTGATGCTTTTGAACTGTGGTGTTGGAGAAGACTCTTGAGAGTCCCTTGGACTGCAAGGAGATACAACCAGTCCATCCTAAAGGAAATCAGTCCTGAGTGTTCATTGGAAGGACTGATGCTGAAGCTGAAGCTCCAATACTTTGGCCACCTGATGTGAAGAGCTGACTCATTGGAAAAGACCCTGATGCTGGGAAAGATTGAAGGCAGGAGGAGAAGGGGACAACAGAAGATGAGATGGTTGGATGGCATCACTGACTCAATGGACATGAGTTTGAGCAAACTCCAGGAAATAGTGGGCAGGAAAGCCTGGTGTGCTGCAGTCGATGGAATTGCAAAGAGTTGGACATGACTTTGTGACTGAACAACAACAACAGCAAGGAGAAGAGAAGAGTAAGCAGCCTCTTATGGCACTCAGGTATTTTGAGAAGAGAATACTCACAGCCTTTGTCTTGAGAAACCTCGGGTTACTACACTTGTGAAAGCAAAGTTGTCATCAACTAGAATATAATACATGATCCAATGAGCCAGTTTGTAGTCCAAGATGCCAAGGAATTGTTTTTTAGGAGTGCATACTAGGGAAAATCAAGAGCTATAGCACTAAGGCAAGCTTCATGGAGAAGAATTTTAAAAGCTGAAAAGGATTTGCACAAATGGAAAAAGAAAAGACGGCTCTTTCCCCAAAGTGGGAAAACCACAGGGAGGAAAAGGCGGAGAAAGGAAAATTGCAGCCAGGATCAAGTGGAAGGTGCAAGTTAAGACAAAGAGAAAGCTTGTGGGCTGGATCTCGGAGATTGTTTTAGGAAAACAGGTGGGAAAACACTAGATACAAACCGTTCTGAATGTAGTTGTTGTTCATTCGCTCAGTCATGTCCGTCTCTTTCCGATCCCATGGACTGCAGCACACCAGGCTTCCCTCCGTCACTCTCTCCCGGGGTCTGCTCAAACTCACATCCATTGAGGCGGTGGATGCGATCTAACCATCTCATCCTCTGTTGCCCTCTTCTCCTCTTGCCCTCCATCTGTCCCAGCATCAGGGTCTTTTCCAGTGAGTCGGCTCTTCGCATAAGGTGGCCAAAGTATTGGAGCTTCAGCTTAGGTAGGAGCAGAGGTGTATTTCACATTATAAGTCTGTCTTGTAAAATGTGAATCCGCCACACAACTTTGCTAGTTGGGGATGATCTGGAGAAGGTTTCCCAGGTAGTAAAGAATATGCTTACCAATGCAGGAGGCATGTGTTCGATCCCTGGATCAGGAAGATACCCTGGAGAAGGAAATGGCAACCCACTCCAGTATTCTTGCCTGGGAAATCCCATGGATAGAGGAGTCTGGCAGGCTAACTGAGCATGCACATGCACATTGATCTGGAGGATACTTTAAAACAAAACAAAACTACTTTTAAATATCTGTGTCAATTTAGCACTGGGTTGGTAAGTTTTGGCAAGACATGCATAGAGCTTTGAATATGAAATCCATCATGTTAATTACTGTTAATAAACAAGAAGTCACTAATGATGCTTGGAGAGCAAAACTTAGCAAATACAGGAAAAATGATGCCTAATCAGTCACATCTAATCTTTCCTTGTAAATGGTACTTACAAGATGCTTAGAAACAGTCTTATAGAAACAATTTTGTGTTTCCATGGAAATATATGCTTGTGTAGAGGTCACCCTTCAAGCTGTCTGATTTTTGTCTTTCAGTGTCTGGGAGCTATTTTACAATTCAGTAAGTGGTATGGAAATGACAGATAAGCACACTGACCTTTGCCTCTGTCTTGTGGGAAAAAAGCCAGTTTTGCCTTCGTCTGCATTTTCCTTTCAACATTCCTTAACTCCACATGTGTGTGGACTTCCCAGAAACTTTCTCTTGAACATGTGCCTGGTGTTCTCATTAATTCCTGAATATTGTAAAACCTTCAACACATGTCATTTTTATATCTGTGTGAGCATCGTTTTCCCTTTTTTGGGAAATTACTCTTTAACTCTCAGATTAAGTCTCACAAACCTTATTGCTGCAGGCTTTTTATATTATTGACTCATCATCCCCCTGTGGAAAAAAATGTCTTATGAAAAAGGTCACCCTTAATCTGAATTCACAAGTTTTCCAATTAGAAGCACCTTAATTAGCAAGGCTCTGGTCTCTCTGGCCATCAGATTTTGGATGAAATTCTTATGGTGTCAAAAACCTGCTGTTCCTTTCCCCTCTGCCACTTATTTTCTTAACCCTCATTCCTTCCTTTCTTTCTCAACCCTCCTCTGTGGCCAGCTGCATTGGGTATCACTCTCAGGTGACCTGACCAAAAACGGAGTAAAGGCAGAGGGCGGGAGGTCAGGTATGAATACGTAGCCACCTACTTCTTAAAACAGCTTATTTGATTTATGGTAAAGAAGCCACCCCAGTGGCTCAGAGGGTAAAGCGTCTGCCCGCAATGCGGGAGACCCGGGTTCGATCCCTGGGTCAGGAAGATCCCCTGGAGAAGGAAATGGCAACCCACTCCAGTACTCTTGCCTGGAAAATTCCATGGATGGAGGAGCCTGGTAGGCTACAGTCCATGGGGTCGCAAGGAGTCGGACACGGCTGAGCGACTTCACTAAGTCACTAAAGAAGCCACAAGCGAAGACGGAGGACAGAGGATGAGATGGTTGGAGGGCATCACCAATCCAATGGAGGTGAACTTGGGCAAACTCAGGCAGATAGTGTGGAGAAGGAAATGGCAACCCACTCCAGTATTCTTGCCTAGAGGATCCCGTGGACAGAGGAGCCTGGTGGGCTGCTGTCCATGGGGTCACACAGAGTCGGACACGACTGCAGCAGCAGCAGAGGGATAGTGAGGGGCCGGGAGACCTGGCGAGCTGCACAGTCCGTGGGGTCGCAGAGTCAGATACGACTTAGCCACTGAACAACAACAAAGGACTCACAGGCCTCGGGAACCAGGCACACATGTAAATTTCAGGGGCTCGCGGTCTTCATCCTCCTGGTCGTCCTCCCTCCCCCCATCCCACTTCCCTCCCCTGTCCCTCCTCCCTCTCTCCTCCTCCCTGCAGGCCGCCCCGCCCCGCCCCGCCCTCGGCCTTCCCGGAGGCTGGAATCCTGGACTGCCACTGGCCGCCGGGATCCCGCCGCGCTTCGTCACCGCGTCCGCAGCCGTCTCCGGCCGAAGGCGCCTCCCCCCTCGGTTGGTCCCCGACCGGCTCCCCTGGGTCCCGCAGGGTTGCGGCGCTGCCTGTCCGGTCTCCTCCTCCTCCTCGCGGGGTGGACAGCGGTCTTCAGGCGGCCGGAGGAGGTAAGTGTACTTTGCTGACCCGAGGACTGCGCTGCAGGTCGGCGCAGCTGGGACTTGCGTGCGCGCGCGCGCAGGAGGCAAAGGAGGTCTTCGGCTGTGTGCACCCGTCCAAGTCCACGCTCAGCACCTGCTTTCAGCAGAGCAGGACATTGTCCCTTGCAGGACCGCCACCCCGCCATCCTGCTTTGGAGTGTTACCATGAACTACACGTTCACCACACATTTTGAAGAGAAAGTTGAACTCATACTCTGCATAAATTTGTAATCTTTTTTTTTCCCCCATGAAACACCATGTCACAATCCTTTCCTACATGCTATTAAGTACTCTTCGTGACTGTGTTCCTACAGTTGAACATTTTGGTTGTAAAGTTCTTCCTACTAATGTAAAAGTATGCGGGAGAGAAATGAGCATACCGATGTCCCGTCCGTTCTCCACACTTTGAAGCATTTATTAAGGCGTGATGGAGAAGGGAAGTACTCCAGTACTCTTGCCTCGGAAATCCCATGGACAGAGAGGGGCCTGGCGGGCTACAGTCCATGGGGCCGCAGAGAGTCGGACACGACTGAAGCGACGTAGTGCGATGTTAAAAGAGATGGGGGCTGGTCTGGGAGCGCGGCATCCTGCGTGCCGGCTGGGTCCGGCCAGCAGAGACTGTACAGTTCCCGCTGGGCCGCGTGTGTCAGGAGGCGAAGCCCAGGCCGTGCTGACACTGGGCCCGGCAATTTAGGGCCACTTGCTGATGGGAATGGCACCTGTTGTTTTCAAAGCCCATTTAAAGTAAGGTGGTCAGGAGTGAGCCTTGTGGGTATCAGGGGGAATGCCATCTGGGCCTCGCCACAGTCCAAGAAAAGGCCAAAGGCAGGTGTCTGGTTGCCAAGTTCACAGGCCAATCTAGCCTCATCTCTTCTTGTTTTCTAGTTAATGTTCTCAAGATTGTGTAACCCTAGGGAAAACGCAGCCCTGATTGTGTGTGAGTTAATTGCTCAGTCATATCCGTGTAGCCCACCGGTCTCCTCTGTCCAAGGAATTCTCCAGGCAAGAATACTGGAGTGGGTTGCCATTCCCTTCTCCAGGGGATCTTCCAGGCCCAGGGATCGAACTCGGGTCTCCTGCATTGCAGGCTGATTCTTTACCGTTTGAGCCACCAGGGAAAGCCATGATTACTGAAAAACAGCAGTAACTGGAGGACTTGATGTTCACAGAACCATCTCTAAGGATAGAGACTGAAGATCGATTACCCTGCAAGTTCCAACGTTTACCCTTAAAGGAAGCCCCCCAGCCTTTCCCAGCAGCCACCTTCATGGTCCTGTAACGTTCCTGTGTTGCTTTCGAGGCCTTTGCAGCGGTTTCCATGTCTAGATCTCTGAGGCTGCTGGCACTCTGTTCCTTGACTTCTTTGCTAGTTACATTTCCCTCGATGCCCGTCTGCTTCACTCCTCGAGATCTGCTTCTCTGTCTCTGTTAGAGAGTCTTCATTGCTTTGGGAAGTGTGACTCCTGAGTTATTTAAATCCTTGGGAATATGAAAGCAGGAACCCACGCTAGCTTTACCGTCCATTTCTCTCGCTTTCTGCCCTCCAGTGAGAAAAGGATAGTGTTCAATTACACAGTTAAAGGATACTTTTCCATGAAAAGCAAAATCATGACTCTAGTACAGACATAAGCATGTGCTAAAGATTGTGTTTTATTCATTCAAGAGGGAACTAGGAAGGTGTTATCATTGCTTCAAAAGAAGTCAAGAAGCACACATTCATATGGAGTAAAAGAATGCCTCCGGAAGGTGCATCTTAGGGGAGGAGGACAGCAGCCCCTTGGACTTTGCAGATGGAACACACCTCAGGGATCCCCGTGGGTCTAGACTTGGTGGGGACATTTGGCGTGTGAAGGAGGACTGGAGGGTTTTAAAGAAAAAATTATTCATTCATGCTGCTTGTTAAAAAACGGTAAGGTAGGGTTATTCAGGACGATTGTGATAGCTGTAGGGACCCCTCCAGTGGGATTTTGCAGTAGGAGAGAGGCAAGGGGCTTTAACTCCGAATGTCATGAAAAGTGGGAATTTCTAGCCAGGGAGCAGAATAGGGGTCAGTGGACGAAAACAAGGGGATTCCGGCTTAAGCTGACCTAGCAGGATTCTTGCAGAAGACCAGCCAGGGTGAGCAGACATCCCCTGGGGGGCGGTGGAGAAGGAGGAGGAACCGAGTCAGATACGGAGGGTGGGGGCTGAACCGACTTAGCCTGGAGTCTTATTAACACTGAACGAAGCCCACAGTCAGAGCCTGGATGAGAAGAGAGGTCAGAGGGTCCGTACTGGAGTCGGATCAAGGAGAGCATCTTTGTCAACCGATGAGAAAGCCGGTCTGTAGAGGGTGGCTCTTGCAGTCATTCACAGCTGTGTGGGATCTTGCATGGATGTGGTGGGCGGATCATGGGTTTCAGTGCTGCATTTTGGGTGCCCTTGCCAAAAAAATGTGCCTCTCAGGGTGTCCCCTGCTGGGGTCTGTCCTGGCCACCCCTAGTGTCATACAGAGGACTCCAGCGTCTGGAGGCATCCCCGGTGAAGACCACAGATCTGATCTCTGCGTGGCTGGCACGTGTGGCCAAGCCCACCTGCCTTGATCCAGGAAAGCTCTTCTCGGTATGTTTTGTGAGGCCCCCACCATAGGTGTGAGCCCCACAGTCTGATCCCCTTACAGGAGGAAACCTTATCACTCACCATGACCTTGTCATGTCACAGGAGGAACTCTGTTTCAGTGGAAAAACACCCGCCGACGGTAGCACACCCTTCTGGGCCGTGTGGCTCCAGCCCTGTTCCCTGTATTTGAGCTGTTCTGCAGTTCTGTGAACACTGGGGTAGCTGATAGGTTTGTAAATTCTGACCTGTCTGGTGATAAACTAATTGGCTTCCTCCCCTACTGGGGAAAAATCGGTTTGGTCTCCATGTACAGTTCATCTCAAGATCCCTCTCCTGGGTAGACATCTGTGCCCTTTCCTTTTCCCCTTAGGCCCAGTTACAACATCTGCTTTATTTCCTCTTATTACACGAGTAATACACAAGCCTTAACATGAAGTCATTTTGATAACTTGGGGAGTCATAATAATTTTCGTTTGTTTCCTGAAAATTATGCTGTAACAAGTGTGTACTTGGGGGTAGGGTGAGGGAAAGGCCCAAATCCTAAAGTGTCTGTGCAGAAAATTTATGTCCAGTACAGTCAGTCAAGTGTCAAGGGCACGTTTCCCAAGGCTCTTGTCACAGAGAAACCGTCTGCCCTGCCCGCCGTGGCCTTGGGCTGGGGCACACCGGCTGGGCGGGCTGCTGTGCCTCGTGAAGGCGCTGGCAGCAGTCCAGCCTTCGTGTGTGGCATGGCCAAGCCTTCCCTGGCCACCAGCCCTTTCTGCGGGAGAAGGACCTTTCGGGATCAGCCCAGAGAGCGGCTCTCCTGGCTGTAAACAGTCCCTTTGGAAAGTGGATGGTGGGTTGAAAGTGAAGTAAAAAGATTCTGATTCGAGGTTGCTTCTTCTTTGCTCTCTTGCATCCTCATTGGAAAGCCCAGGTAAGAAATCCGCCGGAGGAATTGCTTCTCAAGAAATCGTGTGCACTGGGACATGAAATTCACTGCTCGTGATTGCTCTGACTTCTCTTACTAATCTTTGTTCTATAATGTAGTTTATGGAAGCAAAGCCGTGAAAGATAACAGTCAGATTTTTCTACCATCCAACGACTAAACTGTTCGTATTTTTTCTGGTTTCCAGAGCTCTGCTTAGCATGCAGTCTTGTTGTTGTTGTTGTTTTTAGTCTGACTCTTTGCAACTCTGTGGACTTTAACTCGCCAACTCCGTCCGTGAGATTTCCCAGGCAAGAATACTGGCGTGGGCTGCCGGGGGATCTTCTCTGGGGGATCTTCTCGACCCAGGGAACCTGAGTCTCCTGCATTGGCAGGTAGATTCTTTCCTACCGAGCCACCAGGGAGGTCGTCAAATGACTAAGTCTTAATTTCTCTTTCCTTAAAATGTATTTATTTCTAGTTATGAGCATTTAGAATCTGGTAGAAAGTTCAGGATACATTGTAACAGCTGCCTATAGTTCCATGACCCAGATTTAAGATATGAATATTTTGTCCTATGTACTTGAAACCAAAACTTAAAAAGGAAAACAATTTTGTTTATTTATTTGATTTTGGCTGTGCTGGGTCTTCGTTGCCACACAGGATTTTCCGTCGGCGCCACGAGTGCGGGCTCCTCTCTGGCTGCGCTGGGAGGGCTTCTCACTGTGGTGGCTTCTTGTTGCGGAGCACGGGCTCTGGGGTGCTCGGGTTTCAGTCGTTGCAGCCCGTGGGCTCAGGAGTTGCAGCTGGGCTGGGTTTGTGTGCACGGGTTTAGCTGCTCCGCTGCATGTGGGATCTACCTGGATCAGGGATTGAACCTGTGTCTCCTGCATTTTCGGGCAGATTGTTTACCACTGAGCCACCAGGGAAGCCCCAAATCAAAGCTTTAGGAGGAAATAAGATGTAGCAACTACAGTTAAAACCAACAGTCATCTATCCCTTATCCCCTGACAATAACCACTGTGTGATGTGTGGTGTGTTTTATTCCCATGTGTTACACTTTTCCTACAGTGTATTTGTTCATGGAGTATTATTATTTGGAGGTCTTAGTATTTATTTAGCATCAAAAAGCCATTGTCTTTTTATAAAGCATTAGATTTCGAGATTGAACATTTTGGTACATATGTATGGAGTTTGTTCACTGAACTTGCAGTGTACTTGATAAGAATGGATTAGCTTCCTGCAGCTGCTCTAACAAATCACCACAAACTGGGTGATTTAAGATGACAGAAACTTACTCTCTCATTGTCCGGAGGCCAGAAATCTGAAATGAAGATGTTGGCAGGGCCATGCTCTTCCTGAAACCTGTAAAGGAGAGTTTTTCCTTGTCTCTCTCCTGGCTTCTGGTGGTGGCTGCGTTCTTTGACGTTTCTTGGCTTGTAGATGCCTCACTCCAACCTCTGCCTGTGTTGTCCCATGACTGTCTCTCCTGTATGCCTATATCTGTACCCAAATTTATTTCTCTTCTAAGGATACCCATCATTAATTATAGTAACACCCACCCTCCTCCAGGATATTGTTGTTTGGTCCCTGACATTTTATGACCCCTGCATTTTATGGTCCCTGCATTTTATGCAGCACACCAGGTTCTCTGTCCTTCACTATCTCCTGGAGTTGGCTCAAACTCATGTTCATTGAGTCGGTGATGCCATCCAACCATCTCATTGTCTGTTGTCCCCTTCTCCTCCCGCCTTCAGTCTTTCCCAGCATCAGGGTCTTTACCAATAAGTTGACTCTTCCCATCAGGTGCCCAAAGTGTTGGAGCTTCAGCTTCAGCATCAGTCCTCCCAATGAATATTCAGGGTTGATTTCCTTTAGGATTGACTTCCTTGCTGTCCAGGGGACTCTCAGAAGTCTTCTCCAGCACCATAATTCGAAAGCATCACTTCTCTGGTGCTCAGCCTTCTTTATGGTCCAGCTCTCACCTCCATACATGATTACTGGAAAAACCATAGCTTTGACTATATGGACCTTGGTTGGCAAAGTAGTGTCTCTGCTTTTTAATACGCCATCTAGGTTGCTCATAGCTTTTGTTCCAAGGAGCAAGCGTCTTTTAATTTCATGGTTGCAGTCACCATCTGCAGTGATTTTGGAGCCCAAGAAAATAAAGTCTGTCACTGTTTCCATTTTCCCCCATCTATTTGCCATGAAGTGATGGGACCAGATGACATGATCTTGATTTTTTGAATGTTGAGTTTTAAGTCAGCTTTTCCACTCTCCTCTTTCACCTTCATCAAGAGGTTCTTTAGTTCCTCTTCTTAAGCTGGTTACCTCTGCAAAGACCTTATTTCCAAATAAGGGCACTTTCACAGGTTCTGTGGGTTCAGACTTGAATAGTATCTTTGGAAGGGGACATGATTTAACCCATGACAGTGAGTAAGTGACCATGTATCCCATTCTTCTCCTGATGGTCCTTAGATTGCTGTATAGGTTGCTTGAAATTATTGCCACATCTTGATGGCAAGAACAGTTTTCCACATCCTCTGTGGGTGTGCGCATGTGAGCACATACACACATATGCATGAATTTCTCCAGGGAATACACCCAGTGGGGGATTTCTGGGTTGCAGGGTGCATTCATTGTTGCTTTTGCTGACCTGATTCCCAGAGTGTGTAGCAGTTTTTACTCCCTTCCTCCTCCCTACATGGGCATCATCTCTTGGTGCTAAAAGACTTATTGCTGATCTGCAAGAGGTAAATGGTATCTTGTGTTGTTCTTAGTATAATTTCCTTAAATACCATTGAAGTTGAGTATATTTTCATACGTTTACGGACCATTCAGGTATATCCTGTTGTGAATTGCCTATTCACATCTTTGGAACATTTTCTATAGGAGTTGTCTTTTTCTTGTTAACTTCTAGCAATTCCTTATGTATTTTATCTGGATACTACAGTCTCTGCTTTGAAAAGAGTAACTTCGTTTAGTCTGTATCTTGTTTTCCTCACTTTTTTTAAAAAATGAAACCTTTTATGTTACAGTGTTTAAAATTTTAATGAGAGTTTGAAAGCTTTTTGTTGTGGAACATCTAAAGGATGTATACAAGTCCAGAGACTAGTACAATAGACCCTCCAGAACCCCTCACTTCCAGCACTGTCAGAACTTGGACACTCTCTGTCACCTTCATGGCCTACTGGGAAAGCCCCAGACTTCTGGTCATTTTACTAGTATGTGTGTTAGCATGTGGCTATAAAAGATAGGACTCATTAAAACCGAAACAATTGCTGATGTAATACGATTCCTCTTTCCCTTCCTCCCCCCCACGCATTAAAATGATTCTCAATATCATCAAATGCCCAGTCAGTCGATTTTCCCCAATTTTTTTTTTCAAATATTTGTTTACTTATTTGGCTGTGCTGGGTCTTAGTTGCAGCATGCAAACTCTTAGTTGTAGCATTTGGGATCCAGTTTCCTGATCAGGGGATTGAACCCAGGTCTCCTGCATTGGGACCTGGGAGTCTTAGCCACTGGACCACCAAGGATGTCCCCTCAGTTTTCTTCTAAGTGTTTTTTAGACTTGGTTACAGCAGCACCTTCTTGCACTTAGAACAGTAGACAGCACTTCAGCACTTCCCATGAAACCACCAGCAAAAAAACACAGAATTACAAAAGACGTGGCCCTAAATAGACCACGAGAAGGACGCTTATTTACGGCAGGAGAGCTGAAACAGGAAGTGAGAGCGCAGCCTTGTTCAACCTTGGCTGGAAACGTGCATCTCAGTGGCTCAGATTTTTTGCAGCCCTACACAGACCTGCAGATGATGCAAAAGCCCTGCAAGTATTGATTTTGGCCTTCCGAGTAAATGTAGCAAGTAGGCAAGTTCATGAATATAGAATCTGCAGAGCATGAGGTCCGACTGTGTATGCTGATCACTCTCAAAGGCATGTCTTCAGCTTGGCCCCCTGCCCAGAACTCGTGGGTTGTTATCCAACTGTCTGCTCAGGGTGTCTCATAGCCATTTCAAACTCTCATACCCCAGACTGAAGTCCTGGTCTCAAACCTGCTCTGTCTCACTCTCCTCTTTTCAATAAAACTTCTGTCCTTTCCCAGTTGCTCAAGCAAAAGACCTAGTCACCCCTGACTCTTTTTGGTCAAGTACCCTACCCATGCCATCTGTTAACAAAACCAGTTGGCTGCACCTGGAAAATCTACTCAGCCCCTGACTTTTCTGACTCTTTTCTCCATTATCCCTCTTACAGCAACAATTTGGCTTTTCCTCCCTATGAGATGGGAGCTATCGGAGGATCCTGGGAAGAGGAATATCCCCCCCCACCCTCCCTGATCTTTCTGTTCCAGTTACACTGTTCCTTGTTGTCCTTCAAAAACTGAAAGAAAGGGGACCTCCCTGGTGGCTCAGGGGTAAAGAATCCGCTGGTCGATGCAGGAGACACGGGTTCAATATCTGATCTGGAAACATCCCACGGATACCACGGAGCAACTAAGGCTGTGTGCCACATCTATTGGGTCTATGTTCTAGAGCCCAGAAGCCACAACTACTGAGCCAACGTGTCCTAGAGCCTGTGGTCTGCAAGAGAAGCCAATGCAATGAGAAGTCCGCACACTGCAAGCAGAGACGAGCCCATGCAGCAGTGAAGACCCAGCACAGCCACACACACGCACACGCATGCACACGCACACGCACGCACACGCACACACACAAGCGAAAGCAAACCAAACTTGTATACTGATCGCCTAGATTCAACAAGTGTTTGCCATAACTGCTCTGTGTGTCTATATGTGTGTCTGTGCATGTCTGTTTGGTGACTATTTGAGGATAAACTGCAGATGTTGATACTCCATCCCCTACTTGAGTGTACATTCTAGAACTAAGAATGTTCTCCTGCATAACTATCACACCATAGAAATTTAATATTAATTCATAATATCAACGATCATCCATATTCATTTCCTTGATTGTTCCCCAAATGTCTCTTATAGCTCTTCTTTTACAAATAATTTTATTTATTTATTTCATTTATTTTTAACTATTTATAATTTTATTTCTTTATTTTATTTATTTTTGCTGGGTCTTCGTTGCCGCTCGGGCTTTTCTCTAGCTGTGGGGAGTGGCAGCTACTCTTTGTAACGGTGTGCAGGCTTCTCCTTGCAGCGGCTTCTGTTGCCGTGGAGCGCGGGCCTAGGGAGCGCGGGCTTCAGGAGTCGAGGTGCGTGGGCTCAGTAGTTGTGGCTCCCGGCCTCTAGAGCGCAGGCTCTGTTGTGATGCATGGGCTTAGTTGCACTGAGCCGTGTGGGATCTTCCTAGATCGGGGATTGAACCCATGTTTCCTGCGTGGGCAGGCGGATTCTTTACCGCTGAGTTAGCAGGGAAACCCTATAGCTGTTCTCAGTTTGGAACCAGGATGTAGTCAAGATTCACACAGTGCGTTTGGTTTATTTCTCTTTAATCTCTTTTAACCTCCTGCTGCCTCATCCTTTATTTTTTCTTTTCCATTGATTTCTGAAGTTAGGAATGTATTCTGTATATTTGTCAGTTTTTTTTCTGTTTCCAAATATAATAGCATAAAGTTGTTCATACCATCTATGAGTTTCAAAAGGAAAAATATGTACTTTTCCCCATTCCTTGTGCTATTATGTTGTAGTTGTTATGTGTCTTTATCATTCTGTCCTTTTTACTGATCTGGTTTCCTGGAGATATACCTATTTTATAACTCTTCAAAAAAACTCAGGTTTTAATCATTTTCTGTTTTCTTCATTGTTTATTTTCATCTCATTATTTTCTTCTTTGGGGTTTATTCTGCTTTTCCCCCCTTGCTTTTTTTTTTTTTTAAGCTGAGCTTTGCTGCACGTGGGATCTCAGTCCCCTGACCAGAGATTGAACCCAGGCCCCCTGCAGTGGAAGCTCAGAGTCCTAACCACTGGACTGCCAGGGAATTCCCCTCTCTCACTTCCTGAATTGGATTCCTGGCTTATTTCTGTTCTTTCCTCTTGTCAATTACATACACTTGAAGAGGATCAGAGAATGCCATCCTCAAATATGGCACTTAGGCATACTGATTATTTCAAGCTAAAGGCAATTGAGAAACAGCAGATGAAAAAAGACTTTTCACTCCCACTTTCTGTTTTTCTGCCTAAAATTAGGCCATAACTCCCCTCCCCGCAATGAGAGGAGCAACTCTCATCACCAGAGATGAAGAGCTGTCACCAAGAGGAGTCTGCATAAACAAACTGGGCTCAAAGATCCTTATCTTTTTATCAATTCCCCATGTCTTTCCTGGTCACATCCCCACAATTTATCATCCTTTGTTAAAATGGTATATAAGCCGTGTGTCGCCTTCTCGGGCTTTCACTTCTTCTCTGCAAATCCCCTGTGTACTAATTAAAAATACCGATAACATGTATGCTCTCTCTCCTGTTAATCTTCCATTTTTTTTAAAAGGAAAGTTTATTGAAGTATGATATATTCACTCCTTTTAAGTGTACAGTTTGATTGATGCTGACATATCAAACTAGGTAGCCAGCACCGAAACCAAGATACAAAACATGTTCATCACCCCAATAAATTCCCTGTCCCTTTGAGATCAGTCTTCCTCCACTCCCAGCCTCTGGTAGTAGTGATTTAATTTCTTTCTCTATTATTTTACCTTTCCTGGAATGTCATAGGGGCTTCCCTGGTGGCTGAGCGGTAAGCAATCTGTCTGCCAATGCTGGAGATGCAGGTTCAGTCTCTGGATCAGGAAGATCCTTTGGAGTAGGGGCTGGGTGTCTACCCCAGTATTCTTGCCTGGGAAATCCCATGGACAGAGGAACCTGGTGTGCTGCAGTTCATGGGGTCGGGTTGCAGAGTCGTACATGCCTGAGCATGCATTCACATACTCTTGTGCTTCCAGTGTTTGTAGTGGGAGTGGATTCTGATCAGCCTTAATCTTATTACCCAGAACTAGAAGTGATCATTGACTTCTTGCCTGAATACACTTCCCTGGTGGCTCAGTGGTAAAGAATCTGTCTGCCAGTGCAGGAGATGTGGGTTTGATCCCTGAGTCAGGAAGTTTTCCTGGAGAAGGAAATGGCAACCCACTCCAGTATTCTTGCCTGGAGAATGCCATGAACAGAGGAGCCTGGCAGGCTATAGTCCATGGGGTGGCAAAGAGTTGGACACAACTGAGCAACTAAACAACAACATAGTTAAAATTAATTTTCCTTGTACTCTTGATTTTAGTTTACTCATTGTTTGTGAGCTTTGCCTTTGCACCACTCAGAGTATAACTCCTGTTCTCTCTCTGTAGCCTGACCTGAGTATCTCCAATGGCTAATGAAGCTCATCCTTGTCCGTGTGACATTGGCCATAGAATAGAGTATGGAGGGCTGGGGCACGAAGTTCAAGTGGAGCACATCAAGGCTTATCTCACCAAACCCCCCGTGGACGCTGGCAAAGCTGTGGTTGTGATTCAGGATATATTTGGCTGGCAGTTGACCAACACCAGGTATATGGCTGACATGATTGCAGGAAATGGATACACGTACGTATGAAATTCTGTGGGTTTTTTGGGGGGGCGGGGCTTAAATTTGTGTAAATTTCTGTATTTTGTTCCCTTCAAAGGAAACAAAACCAAAAAACCCTGACTGTGTTCCGATGTACATTATCTATTTTCTTGTCTCACTGAAAAGAAAAAAGGAAGTGAAGTTGCGCAGTCGTGTCTGACTCTTTGCATCCCCGTGGACTGTAGCCCACCAGGCTCCTCCGTCCATGGAATTTTCCAGGCAAGAGTACTGGAGTGGGTTGCCATTTCCTTCTTCAAGGGGATCTTTCCGATCCAGGGATTGAACCCGAGTCTCCTGCATCACAGGCAGATGCTTTACCATCTGAGCCACCTGGGAAGCCCTTAAAATGGAGAATATCATATGATAGCCAATATCCAGTGGAAGCCAACTGCTCCCAACCGTCTCTGGGCTTCAGATCCTCCTTGGTTGGCTGGCCTTTTAGACCTGCTTGATGCTGAGAGAGTTACTTCCCCATGTGGGGCCCCAGACAGACACTAGTGCAGGACACCTGGGACAAAAGTCAGCAACTCTAAAATGGACCTATTACTTGGCTCCTGAAGCATCTCTTCCTGGGGTCCACTCTCACACACAGGGCGCCCATGGTTATCCTGGTCTAAACACAAAGTATCATGTCAGAGTGAGACCTCTCTCAGCTCCCGAAGGCCATCTCTTGGCCACGTTGTGTGGCCACGACCACCTTTGGTGAATGCTGTCATCTGTTTGCTCCTCACCGCCCTGGTGTTGGCAGTAGCGTCAGTAAAGCTTCCCTGATAGCTCAGTTGGCAAAGAATCCACCTGCAACGCAGGAGACCCTGGTTCGGTTCCTGGGTTGGGAAGATCCGCTGGAGAAGGGATAGGCTACCCACTCCAGTATTCTTGGGCTTCCCTGATAGCTCAGCTGGTAAAGAATCCACCTGCAATGTGGGAGACCTGGGTTTAATCCCTGGGTTGGGAAGATCCCCTGGAGAAGGGAAAGGCTACCCACTCCAGGATTCTGACCTGGAGAATTCCATGGACTTTATAGTCCATGGGGTTGCAAAGAGCTGGACACGACTGAGCAACTTTCACTTTCTTTCCAATAAAGCTTGGAGGAGAGAGGGGAGGGATCCTTCTTTCTGTCCAGCTTCACGTAAGCCCAGCAAGCCCTGAGTGTGGCACACTCTGATTCCCTTTGTTTTCCCCAAAAGAGAGCTGCAAACCAAAGGGAGCGCCTGCCTCGTTTTCCCACCAGGAGAAACCTGTTTAAGGGACGCATGCCCACTGACACGTGATGCGGATTTTGTGTTGAATGGAAAGAGGGTCTTCATTTGACTTTTCCCCTTTTCGTGCCCTCAGGTGTCTTTTTGAAGATGTGTGCTTAGTCGCTCAGTTGTGTCTGACTCTTTGCGACCCCATGAACTGTAATCTGCCAGGCTCCTCCGCCCAGGCAAGAATATTGGAGTGGGTACCCTTCCCCTTCTCCAGGGGATCTTCCCAGGGATTGAACCCAGGTCTCCCGCATCGCAAGCAGATTCTTTACCAGCTGAGCCACCAGGGAAGCCTTTTGAAGATGAGGCAGCTTAACTCTCCAGGGGCCACACCAGTAGTAAAAACAGCAGCCCATCCTGATTGCCTTCTGGGTCGGCCACACCCTGGGCTAGGGTGGGTCCTGGGCGATTGCTCTGTATCCTCCCAACAACTTTGCTGAGGTGGGGCTGTTGTGGTTCTCATTTTACTGGTCAGAAAACTGACCAGCAAAGGTCAGAGGTCTCGGGCACCCTGCTATGACCAGGAGACTGGATAGGATGGAGGCTTCTACTGTCTCAGTTCAGTTCAGTCTCTCTGTCGTGTCTGAGTCTTTGCAACCCCATGGACTGCAGCACGCCAGGCCTCTCTGTCCATCACCAACTCCTGAAGCTTACTCAAACTCATGTCCATGGAGTTGGTGATGCTATCCAACCATCTCATCCTCTGTCATCCCCTTCTCCTCCCGCCTTCAATCTTTCCCAGAATCAGGGTCTTTTCCAATGAGTCAGTTCTTCGCATCAGGTGGCCAAAGCATTGGAGTTTCAGCTTCAGCATCAGTCCTTCCAGTGAGTATTCAGGACTGATTTCCTTTAGGATGGACTGGTTCAGGTGGGTCTGTTAGCTGGAGACAGAACATAAAAATTGAGTAAAGACGCCTGTGACCTACAAAGCCCCTTCACACTTGTCTATTTTGCCTTCAGAATAGTCTTCTGAGATTGGGTGGTGGGTGCTTGGCGCCATCTCTGTCAGATCAAGAAAAATAGGCTGAAGGTGATTAAGTGACTTGTTAAGGTTCCAGGGGGGCGTCCCTGGTGGCTCAGTGGTAAAGAGTCCACCTGCCGATGTAGGAGGTGAGGGTTTGATCCCTGGGTTGGGAAGATCCCCTGGAGGAAGAAATGGCAACCTATTCCAGTATTCTTGCCTAGGAAGCCCATGGATAGAGGAGCCTGGTGGGCTGCAGTCCATGGTGTCTCCAAAAGGCAAATAGTTGGACATGACTTTGAGACAACATAAGGTTTCAGGGCAGAAGGGGGCAGTACTGGGGCCTGAACTTAGATTCTTCTGACCCGATTTCAGTGTTCTTCCTCCCACCCCACCCCCACCCCCGCAGGAGGAGGATCTGTGTTCCTCTGTCCATGGCCGTGACCTTTAGTTTAGGAACTGGGTCTCTGGCTGGCGCCACATTGCCCAGTCCCTGGGCTGATGCTTGTGGAAGGTTGACATGCCTGACATGACCGTGGAAGGCTGACATGGACTCCACAAGCCTTCTTGTCTGCTCCTCAGACCTTTTAGAGCCTGCCCGAGACCAGACCCTCAGGGTGGGAGATTTTGCCCGGTTGGCCTCTTGGACGGAGGCTGAGAAATTGCTTGGTCATGATGATTGGACCGCTCAGAGGTGTGCCCTCTGGCCTGAGGCTAACTCCAAAGGCCTGCTGAGAGGTGCGGCTCCCCAGGGGTAGGAGGGCAGGTTCCTGCCACCCAGAACCTTTGTCCCAGACGTCACACCTCGCGGGCACTGTGCTGGGGCAGGCGTTTCAGAGGGGTTGGGCTCTGAACAGGCTGCTGGAGGTCATGCACCTGGGGTTGTGAAATCCCAGATGCTCTGGCCTGGGGCCAGCTGGCCCGTTTGCCGTGGTCACAGTCGGCCCGGTGGTCACTGCTTTTTCTCTTCCCGTGGTCCAGAACCACCAGCACGGCAGGTTTCGTAAGGAAGGTAAACAGAGAACAAGTCCCAACAGCTTCAGCACTATGACGGGTGGGTCTCCTATTTTACAGAACCATTGTTCCAGACTTCTTTGCCGGGCAGGAGCCTTGGCACCCCTCGGGGGACTGGTCCACCTTCCCAGAGTGGCTGAAGACAAGAAACGCCAGGAAGATTGATAAGTGAGTTTACGATTGTGTCACCAGCCGGCGTGGCAGTCTTGGTGGAGCCCCCAGGGACCCAGGAAGCAAGAGGCTGGAGGGAGGGAGGGTCTGACTTCTCCATCACGTAGGACCTTAGAGGCCACTGCTCATAGAGTCCTTCCTGAGGCAGGAAGACAAGGTCTATGCAGCGGAGGGGTGGAACCCCACAGGCACCCTGCCGCCAGCAAGCTCACTTGCTTTGCCTTCTGGGAAATTCTTCATGGCTTGGATGCTGAGGGAGCTTTCTTGAAGTCCCTGGGGTTCCCTCTCCCTTGGGCTCTCGGTGGCCATAGATCAACACTCCTTCCTCCTTGGGCTGCAGAACCGCTTGAAACAACGGGCAGAGAAGAGAGACTCGAGAAGACCTCAGGCCCGTTTCTGCTCAGCGGATTGGAAACAAAGCCTTGAGTGCTGTCCTCCCCCAGAGATCCTCCCAACTCCCTGGGGAAACGGAGGGTCTTTAGACCAGACCCGCCAGACCGGGGCTGCTCTCTTGCCAGTGTCCAGGGAACAGTGGGAAGAAAAGTGTGTTTGTGTGTGGGGAAATCCCCTAGATTGCAGCCTTTCATTGAATTGGCTCCAGCCAGTCCAGAAGCAAGGACCACAGTGCTCAGCTGCCACTCGGATCCCTTCTCTGTCTGGAGGGTGAAGGTTGGAGCGGGGAGAAGAGGCAGGATGTTCTCCAGGGCCAAGCTCCTCCTGAGTTAGAGACCTGAGTCCCAGGCAAATGACTCTGCCAACCTCTCGGCCTCATCTCCCATCATGGGACTTTATCCTGCCATGCATGTGAGCCTCGTGTTTGATAAGTTGCCCCCAAGCCCAGGCTGGGGCAAGTGCAGTAACAAGGCTCCCTGCCCGTGGCTGCCTGGTCTTCGGACTCTCCGCTCCTCTAGAGCTGACTCCGGACTGCGGCCCCTCTGTCCCCTGACCCGGGGGACCCCACGCTGACCTCTGCCCCCAGCCCCCAGGGGCCCGAGAATGGAGCCAGCATCAGACAAAGGTATGGAGATGGGCATCCCGGGGATACCTTCTGAGCTGTGGATCAGCCTTTGCTCAGAGTCACCTCCCTGGCTTATCCGCTGTCTGCTCCAGCGCCTCGGCCCCGCCTCACTCCCCACACTCCCCAGGATTCTGGACACCCCTCTCTGGGCACCTGTGCGGAGCAGCCGCACTCTGTGGCTTACGCCAGGGTCTCCCTCGGGCCCCTGCACAGTCCGTCAGGCCGGGGAGATGCTGCAGGCTGCCCTGGGAGCTCCCCGCTTGCCGGAGCATATCAGCAAGTAGCAACAACCTCAGGGTCTCACTGCAGGGGAGACCAGGGCCAGCGGCTCCCTTTGAAATTGCCTCTAGGGTGTGAAGCACCTTGTCTTGTGTCCCATCCCGGGGAATCTCACTGCAGGGGTACGGAGGCCCGGCTCCTTCACCCCAAGCTGGGGGACCTTCAGAGGTCACCCCAGCTCCAAGTTCCCTGAGGAGCCAGTTGAGGCTTTTGTAGAGACCGTGCCACACCCCACTTTCTGTCCCCATCCTGCTTTCTCCCTTCCCCAGGGATCACTGGGGACCCAAGCTCCCACACATTTATCCATTTCCAGGCCTCCATGGATCTCCCTTCCCCGAGATCAAGATCTCCCTTCCCCGAGATCACTGGGGACCCAAGCTCCCACACATTTATCAATTTCCAGGCTTCCCTTCCAGGGATTCAAGCTGCAAGCTAAAGAAAAACAAAATAAGCAGAAAGCTAAGAGTACATTAGAAGTTGAAACACAAGAAAACCCAAGAGCCTGGGATGTGACTGTGAAATTCAGCTTTGCGTGTAGGGCTGGGCTGGAGAGACTAGTTAGGACATTTTGAGGAAGAGCAGGTGGGGCTGCCTCCTGAGTGTGAGCTCAGATCTGGGTGGTCCTTTCTGGCAGGCATCAGAGCAGCCCGGAGGGGGCCCTCCACAGGGAGTAAGGAGAACCGCACCTTTTCAATCAAAATGAGACATAAAACGCAAGCACTCATTTGGAAAATAGACGCAAGTCCTTGTGCCTGGTCAAGTCTTTTGTTTGAAAGAAAAGCCATCTTGAATGCTTACTGCTTAAGCAGTCATGGGATTAATTGGCTGACAGAACTGAGAAGAGGTATTTTCTGGCTCTGAGCAGAGGTTGATCTGTAGCTCAGAAGGTATCCCCAGGATTTGACCTCCACACCCTTGTCTGATGCTGGCTCCGTTCTCGGGCAGCGTTTGCCTCTAGATGGCAAGATGGCTGCAGCAGCTCCAGCCTCTTGTTGACTCTTTTCCTAGCTACCCAGCAAAATTCCCATTTTGTCCTGATGGTTATGACTGGGTCACAAGTCCATCCTTGAACCAATCATTGTGGCCAAAGATCACTTATGCTCTGACAGGCCATGCCTGAACCACATATTGCACTCCTGGAACCAGGGCCCCCAAGGTATATGGACCGAGCGTGGGGAAGAGAGGTTCGTCTGAAGCTAAATCCTGGTGTTCCCAGGAAAGTGGGGGATACTCGCAGCAACAAAAGCAAAGATAGGTTCACTCGAGTCAGTTAAAGAATTTTTACAGAAATGCCCTCTACCTTCTTGTCCGCTCTAAGGCATTTATTCTTAAGATTAGAGAATTTGAGAAAAACCAAAATGACAAAAACAATGGCTTATTCCATTTCGTTTTGCAGAATTACTCAGTTACTGCTCTTCTAACATTGTGAAAACTACTTGGGCCCAGAATGGTATGATAACAAATGTTTAAATATGTTCCAAGATATCTTACAATTAAAGGAGAAAAAAAAAAGTGCAAGAGAATTGTTTTCTCTCTCCCGCTCTCTCTCTTCTACCCTTAATTGCAAACAGACAGCATTTCTTTCTTATCAGAACAAGCAGAACTCTCTGGGCAGGCCTTGCAGCCCTACCTCCATTTTGGCATCTTGCTTCTAGCTGAAAAAAAGTTGTAGGAGTTCCAAGCAACCAATTTGAAAATGAGCCGCTTGTGAGAGAAGGGCCGCTGTCCCGGTCGCCTTGGGTTTGTGTTGTCTTTGTTGCTTTTCCAGCACCGCTGGGCTCCGGGCACCAGAGGAAAGAGGCGGTGCAACGTGTCGGGCAGGGAGCGCGAAGGCGCCCGGTCAGACCGAGCTGGGGGGCTGCCTCCTGGTTGCGGCTGGGCCCTGCTGGCGATGAGGGAGAGGAGCTGGAGGTGCTTTCTGGGGCAGGACTTGGAGCAGGCCCTCGAGCTGAGCTGCTGTCGTTGGCTTTGATTCCGAGGCTGTGGGAGGCTGTTGCTCAAACTCGTCCTGTTTGTGCCGCCCTGCTGGGTGGTTGGAGGAGGCTGGGCTTGGCAGGGAGACTTCCCAGGGATAGGGCACTGGTTACTCATCAGCTGGGCAGGAGGACAGGGCTCTGAAGGTAGGAATCTCAGAGCCTCCCGGAACAGCTGCTGACAAAGCCCTGTAACCATTGGCACTTGCTGCCCGGCTCGCTCTCGAGGGGCCACACGATACCTTTTTTTTTTTGGCGGGGAGGGGTGGGGGCCGTGCTGTGCAACTTTCTGGGTCTTAGTTCCCTGACCGGAGTAAACCCCGGCCCTGGCAGTGGAGGTGCTGAGTCGTAACCACTGAACCACCAGGTTATTCCCCTTGAATAACTTTCCTTTCTGTTTTTTAGAGAGTTCGATGCAGTCTTGAAGTATCTGAAGCAACAGTGTCACGCCAAGAGAATTGGCGTCGTGGGATTCTGCTGGGGTGGAATTGCCGTTCATCACGTGATGATGAAATACCCAGAGCTCAGGGCGGGGGTGTCCGTCTACGGTAAATCTGCCTTGGGTGGTTTCACGCGGTGAAAGTCGGAGGAGGGCTTGAGTGTCAGTGGCCGCAAGCCTCTTCCCCAGCTGAGGGTCCCGGGTGTAACGCAAAACCCCGTTGTGTAGAGATGTGCTGATCTTCAGGAAACGTTTTTAAAAATTTGAAGCTAGAGGCGGATGTATGTTCTCTCCGACCAGAGGAAACAAGGTACTGACATTGTGCTTTTGTTTTTGGAAAACCCCCTAACCCAAGGTCTCAAGTTTTTTTCACCTAGGATGAAGGGGATAATGTTTCTTTCCACGATAATGGTTAATATCAAACAATATCATAGCCACAGCTTTGAAAGGATTTTTTTTCTGAGATATGAAATCTCAACTACTCACACATGCGTGCCCTCCTGCACACACACACACACACACACACACACACACACACACACACACACACACACATACAGAGGTTTCCCAGGTGGCGCTAGTGGTAAAGAATCCGCCTGCCAGTGCAGGAGACGCAAGAGATGCAGTTTGATCCCTGGCTTGGGAAGAGTCACTGGAGGAGGAAATGGCAGCCTGCTCCAGTATTCTTGCCTGGAGAATCCCCATGGATAGAGGAGCCTGGTGGTCAGTGGGATCGCAAAGAGTTGGACACGACTGAGTGACTGAACACATACATGAAGAAAGGGAAAACCCACTCCACAGTGTAAATAGCAACATAAACATTTCATCCAAATAGACCAAAGGTATCACAGCAGTGACATAAGAACGTGTTATCTGTGTCAGTCAAGTCAGTTCAGTCACTCAGTCGTGTCCGAGTCTTTGCAACCCCATGAACCGCAGCACGCCAGCCCTCCCTGTCCATCACCAACTCCCATAGTCCACCCAAACCCATGTCCATCGAGTTGATGATGCCATCCAACCATCTCATCCTCTATCGTCCCCTTCTCCTCCTGCCCTCAATCTTTCCCAGCATCAGAGTCTTTTCAAATGAGTCAGCTCTTCGCATCAGGTGGCCAAAGGATTGGAGTTTCAGCTTCAACATCTGAAGCTGTACAGAAACATTACTAAGTTAGGATGTGAAATGTTTGACTTTGGCTTGTCTTCATAGTCGTATATTTCACAGTTATGCTAGAGATTCTTATTTAGCTGAGTGGTTCCTCACTGTGGTATTTTCACCGACTTTTAGCATTTAAAAAGCCCTTTACCTGTTAACACAAAGGTGTTAAGTAGCTAGTTGGTGCTGTGGGCAATGGGGCTGGCCACCCAGGCGCTCCGGCGTTGACTGCTCGCCTGCGCCCCCTCGTGGCCGCTGCTGCGAAGTGCCGGCTGCGGAGCCGGGCTGCTCTCAGAGCCTGGGGGTCTCAAACCTGCGGTCCAGCCACCCAACCTGGCCTTAACTAGCGCAGGAAGCATGGCCCTCTTTCCCATGGCTCCTTACCTTCTAGAGAAGAATTGCAGCTAAAGGGAGGCTCTCTGGGTTATGAAGCTTTGCTACAGAAAAGGGAAATTTTATCTCCTCCCCCCCGACCAGGATTCTCTATGACCACCCTTGAGTCAGATTACTTTAGGTCCCGACCTTGTGCTCTGTCCTTGGCCCACTGGGCCAGTTTAGCAAGAATCCTCCACCCTCGATACATGATCAAACTCCTCACCCTCGATGTCTTGTCACCCTGGCCTGCCTCCAGCAAGGAGAAAGTGTGAGTTGCTCAGTCCTATCTGACTCTTTGTGACCCCCAAGGACTCTCATGGACTGTACTTCTGTCCATGGGATTCTCCAGGCCAGACAACTGGAGTGGGCTGCCATTCCTTTCTCCAGGGGATCTTCCCGACCCAGGAATCGAACCCGGGTCTCCAGCATTGCAGGCAGATTCTTTAGTGAATGTGCCCAGAGAAGCCCTGTCTCCAGCAAAGGCTTTGTCAAATGCTATCTGGCCAGAATCCCCATTCCTCTTGGTCCCTTTGTGACTTTCCCTCCATCAGTCCTCACTTTGCTTCATTGTCTGTAAATCCCTCTTGTCCTTACAGTGTGGTTGATTCTGGCCTCCCTCCCCGCTGCAAGTTCTCATTGAATAAAATCATCCATGTCGCCTTTAACAGGTGCCAGAATAATCTCTCCTTAGAACTCCTCTTGGGTTTCCCTGATGTCTCAGTTGGTAAAGAATCCGCCTGCAATGCAGGAGACCCCGGCTCAGTTCCTGGGTCGGGAAGATCCCCTGAAGAAGGGATAGGCTACCCACTCCTATATTCTGGCCTGGAGAATTCCATGGACTGTACAGTCCATGGGGTTGCAAAGAGTTGGACACGGCTGAGTGACTTTCACTTAGAACTTCTTTTATTTAAAAATGACAATGGATTGCAAAACTTTTACAGATTTTCCTATAGGACTGAGCACACCCACAGTTGTCTGAATCCGTGAGGATTTTGACTAAATGATCTCTAAATTTCTGAAGGCACTTAAAGCTAATTATTATAAGTGACCTTCTAGGACCCAGTGCTATTCCTGGGGATTTCATATGCTTGGTCTCATTTGAGCACAAATACCCCGTCAAACACTGGAGTCAGAACCTCGGGGCTTGAGTAGACTGCGAGAAACTTTCAGAACAGCCCTGGTCAGATGGTCTATGTTAGAAAGTTATCAGTTCTTGGTAAATGAAGGCACACGCCAGGAGGGAGTATTTTTCAGACTGCTCTGTATCTTTATAGGCCAGGCAGCGGGCAAGGTCTACAGTCCTCATTTCATGGCCTGATTCCTGGTGAGCGAGGTGGAGAGAAGGGAGAGCTGACTCAGCAGCCTTCTCTTTGAGTGCAGTTGTATAGGCCAGGCCACTTCCGTGGAGCTGCTAAAAAGAAGAGAGAGAAAACCCCCAAAGCACATGTCTTCCTTTGAAAAATCAAACTCGCGTCATTTTCTGTGGCTCGTGTATGGGATTCACACCATCATGTCTGCTCCCATTCTCCAGGCATCATCAAAGACGCTGCAGATGTGTACAGTCTGAAGAATCCCACACTGTTCATCTTTGCTGAAAACGATGCTGTGATTCCTCTCGAGCAGGTAAGCTGGCATCTTGTTTAAGAGGACGACTTGACATTTCGGGGAAGGCATCCCAAAGGACTCGTGTGTTGCTCCAGATATTTTTCAATGTTGAAATGTCAAAAGTGGGTTTTATTTGAGGGGGAGTGTAACCCCTAGAGTGCTGCTGGTCAGCAGGCCCTGCCTCCCTGCCCCCGTGGGTAACCCACCAGTTACCATAAGTTCTCTGTCCTTAAAGACATGGCTTTGTTAAATCCAGTATGTTGATAAGGAAAAAGCAGAAGGGAACTATGGTTCAAAGCAGTTGTTTAGAAATTACTGTGGTTATTCACAACCCTTGTTGTTGTTTAGTTGCCAAATCGTGTCTGACTCTTTGGGATCCCCTGGACTGCAGCACGCCAGGTCCTCTCGTCCCTTACCATCTCCTGGAATTTGTCCAAGTTTATGTCTATTGAATTGGTGATGCCATCCAAATACAATACATTATATTATAACCAATGCATTATATTAATGTTGAATATACATTTCAAACAACTTACATTTGAATCTATTGAAGTACAGGTTGAATTCACTGAGTATTGTATGGTCAAATAGATTAAGTATATTTTGAATAATATGTAGATATATTAGTATAACTTCAAAATAATGGATGTATCATTTTTATCAACATACTGCACTGAATTCTCTCCTTTGCCAGAGGTTAGGATGGTGTCAGTTATAAAACTAAAAGTGAAAACTTCATTCTAGCTCTGGAGCTTAAAGCACAGATGTAAAAGCTCTTTGATGAGCATTCAGGGAAGGAGTGGAGACTGGAACATATTGCTGGAGGGTTAACATCCTGTGTTCATGACATCTTTTGCCAACCAGGTCTCTTTGCTGACTCAGAAGCTGAAAGAGCACTGCAAAGTGGAATATCAAATTAAAACGTTTTCCGGGCAGACGCATGGCTTTGTGCATCGCAAGAGAGAGGACTGCTCGCCTGAAGACAAGCCGTACATTGACGAGGCGAGGCGGAACTTACTCGAGTGGCTGAGCAAGTACGTGTAGCCACGGCCAAGGGCAAGCTTTCTCCAAATAGCTCTCTTTCGGAAATGTGCTTTGAAATGCTTAGATCATTTTTCTTTCATTTTACAGAAAATCAATCAAGGAATCCTGAAATTCATTGTGTCATTTGAAACACAAATTCAGAAGGAAAAGTTAATGTATAAAATACTTTCATTTTTAACATGTGCCCAAGATAAGATTTTTTTCAGGCAGTACCTGAAGGATTTGGGCGATAGAGTAATATCCTAACTATTAGCAAAAAATCCCTAGAGGTCCCCAAGGAACATGTGACTGCTCGGGTATGGCCTTCCAGGCCTTGAATTGAGCACATTCTCTAGAACAACTAAATTGGTGAAGCCATGAAAAGCATGAAATGTAAACTCAGGTAGAGCAAAAGCCCACCTTCATTGTATTTTTATCTCTGTCTTTACAGGAATGAATCTGTCATGATCATATACATATTGAGATTAAAGTAGGGTTCCACTGAACTAATTATATAAAGCTTATAAACCTGATTTTTGAATCTGTCTTTTTCTAAAATAAACGATGGATGAAAGTTGCCATCTGGCTGTCTTGCAGGCAGTGGTTTTTCAAACACGGCTGTTTTCGGGTCCTCAGGGTTGGAACTGCATCAAAAACCTCTCCTGTGTTCAACCAGGAGGCTGGCGGTGTCGAGGGTGAAGCTTGCGTGTTTACCTTGAAGTTCATTAAAACGAAATCAAAGCTAAGGGACTTCCCTGGTGGTCCAGTGGTTAAGAGCTCAGCTCTCCACGCAGGGGGTGTGGGTTCAATCCCTGGTTGGGGAGCTGAGATTCCCACATGCCTTGTGGCCCCCAAAACCAGAACACGCAACAGAAGCAATATGGTAACACATTTAATAAAGGCTTTAAAAAATGGTTCCCACTTAAAAAAAAAAAAAAGAAACCAAAGCCAAGCCCTGGCTCCTCAAGACCAGCCCCCCGAGTCCAGCCTCCGTAGCCGCGGGTGGCCACGGCTTCTGAGTCTTTGCATCCGTGGCTTTTCCCACGGGCCGTGGCCGCACCCTGCTGATGCCGAGACCTGCGGCCGGCCGTCTCGGCTGCACCCCGGAGACTCTCCACCCGGCCTGGCCCTCAGCCTTTCCTCCCACTGCGCCTGGGGTCTGCAGACACTGAAGGCTGCTTGTGTCCCTGCCGGGGCCTGGGCCCCACAGGGGCTGCCCCATGCCAGCTGCGGGAAGGGGGCTTGCTTGAGTCCTGAGCTACAGGTGGGCTTTCGGCCCAAGGTGCACGAGCTACTGGGCCATTTCTTGTCAGGGCTGGGTTTTTTGGGGTGGGGGAAATCAGGGCCCTTCTCTTCTAGAAGACGGGAAGTGAGACGATCCCTTCAGCCCCAGGGAACCTCTCCTTCCTGGGCCTGCAGGGGCCCAGGGAGGGTGTGGCGGCTGATTGAAGCTCTTCCCGTAGGAGCGTCCGAGGGACCAGGGCTGGAGGGCTGCAGGACCGGGCTCCTCTGGAGAGCGAGGGGGGCCGGGGAGCAGAGAGCCGGCCTGACCCAGGGGGGGCGGGGAGGGGAAGGGGGCTCTAGAGCTTTAGGAAGGGAGCTGGGAGGACACAGCATCCTCTGAAGTCGCCGAGAGACCATGCAGGAGCAGGGACACCACAGAGAAGTGGGGCTGTGGGGAACAGAGTTTGGTTTCGGTCCAGCCTGGAATATCAGGTTTTCTTGGGCTGCAAATAACCGAAAGGGCCACTAACAGCCAGTGGCTCAGACAGTCGGAGCCACGGTGTTTCCAGTGGGCACATACGGCTGCGAGAGCTGGACCCTGAGGATGGCTGAGCGCTGAAGAATTGATGCTTCTGCACTGAGGTGTTGGAGAAGACTCTTGAGAGTCCCGTGGACTGCAAGGAGGTCCAACCAGTCCATTCTAAAGGAAATCAGTCCTGAATATTCATTGGAAGGAGTGATGCTGAAGCTGACACTCCAATACTTTGGCCACCTCATGCGAAGAGCTAACTCACTGGAAAAGACCCTGATGTTGGGAAAGATTGAAGGTGGGAGGAGAAGGGGATGACAGAGGATGAGATGGTTGGACGGTATCACCGACTCAATGGACATGAGTTTGAGTAAGCTCTGGGAGTTCGTGATGGACAGGGAGGCCTGGCGTGCTGTAGTCCATGGGGTTGCAAAGAGGCAGACACGACTGAGCGACTGAACAGTAAAGAGAGTGATGAAGTCTCCCCCAGACACCATTCAACGGACCAGGAGCGGCTCAGGGCCTTCCTGATGTCAGGATGTGGTACGTGCCTGCTGCTCTGGGCCCCTCTTCTCCAGGTCTCGTGGGGAGGAAGGGAAATCCTGTCAATTTCTGTTAGGAGGGAGCTCTCCCAGAACCCAGGCCCTCCTCCCCTCAGCTGTCTTCCCATGAAGGAGGCTGAGTGAGCCTGAGTTGAAGGGGGTCTGTGGTCAGGACCGATTGGCCCCTGGCGCACCCCAGGGCCGGGCCAGTGAAGGAGGCCTCCTGGTGGGTGGGCAGCAGAGGAGCCCCGTGCGGACGGCCATGCCCCATGTGGGCAGAGGCGAGTGTGGAGCAGGATGAGAGTGAGGCGGGCGGGGAGGGGTCGCAGTATCCAGGCCCCTGGCTGTCAAGCTCCCGTGTGGCTTTGGGACACTTGCTCGAATGCTCTGACCTCTGGTGGTGGTGGTGTAGTTGCTCAGTCGTCTGACTCTGTGACTCCATGGACTGTAGCCTGCGAGGCTCCTCTGTCCATGGGATTTCCCAGGCAAGACTACTGGAGTGGGTTGCCATTTCCTCTTCTCGGGGATCTTCCCAACCCAGGGATCAAACTCATGTCTGTCACATCTCCAGCACTGGCAGGCGGATTCTTGCCCACCCACACCCTCTAGTTTTTCTCAATGGAAATCTACAAAATGAAGAGAATGACCTTATTTTGCAGAATAAACCCAGTCTCATGTGGGCGTGTCATCAGGTACTGGCCAGGGGGCTGAGCTGTGGTTGCTTCTGACTGTGTGTCAGCCTGCCTTCAGGGGTGCTGCAAAGGAGAGGGGCGGCGGAGCCCAGGCTCAGGACCCAGAGGGGTTTGCTCTGTTCTGCTTTGTGAGGTGAAACAGTGACAGAGTTTATTTTTTGGGCACCATCTCCAGATAGTGACTGCAGCCATGAAATTAAAAGACGCTTGCTCCTTGGAAGGAAAGCTATGACCAACCTAGACAGCATATTAAAAAGCAGAGACATTACTTTGCCAACAAAAGTCCACCTAGTCAAAGATGTTTTTTTCAGTAGTCATGTATAGATGTGAGAGTTGGACTATAAAGAAAGCTGAGTGCCAAAGAATTGATGCTTTTGAATTGTGGTGCTGAAGAAGAGTTCCTTGGACCGCAAGGAGATCCAACCAGTCCATCCTAAAGATCAGTCCTGAATATTCATTGGAAGGAGTGATGCTGAGGCTGAAACTCCAATACTTTGGCCTCCTGATGCGAAGAGCTGACTGATCTGAAAAAACCCTGAAGCTGGGAAAGACTGAAGGCGGGAGAAGGGGGCGACAGAGGATGAGATGGTTGGATGGCATCACTGACTCCATGGACATGATTGACTAAACTTCAGGAGTTGGTGACAGACAGGGAAGCCTTGTGTGCTGCAGACCATGGGGTCGCAAGGAGTCGGACACGACTGAGCGACTGAACTGAAGGGGGCAGGTGAGGATGCAAAGGGGTTCTACCCCTGCCCTCGGGAGCTCGCTCCAGCTGCACCCGTGGCTGCTGGCAGGAACTCCTGTCACTGTTACCTCCAGGGGCCAGGCTGGAGGCCGCCCTGGAGCAAGGCCCTGGCTGAGCCCAGAGGAAAGGGCCCCAGAAGGCCCTGCATGGTGACTCAGTGCTTTGACCTGGAAATGATGCTTCTTTCTGCTCATGGGCCCGAGCTGCTTACAAGGCCCTACCGGCCACAAGAGTCCAGAAGTGTGATCCTGACGGGCGCCCACAAGGTGCTGGCATGACAGACGAGCACACTCTGTGGCTTCAGGACAAACGTGCGACCCCACGGTTCTGTGGAAGCCCAGGCTGGCTCACCTGCTTTCTCCACTCGGGGTCTCATGAGGTCCAAGTGCAGGTGCTGGCTGGCCAGGCTCCGGGAAGGATCTGCTTCCAGATACAGCTGACTCTTGAACATCAGGCTTGAACTGCTTGGGTCCTCTTGCAGGTTTCTCAACAGTAAACCCAACAGTACCACGTTTGATGTTGGCTGAATGCTCAGATGCAGAACCAAGCCCATGGAGGACTGGCTGTAATGTTTTCTTGCATTTTCAACGGCATAGATGGTCAGCGCCCCACCTGTGCTGTCCAAGGGCCAGCTGAACATCCCAGTGTCTGGAGAGTTGTCCCTTGCGGCTTAGGACCGAGCTCTCGTTTCCTTCCTCAGGGCCTGTACGTGGCCCCTGCATCTCAGGGCCAGCAGGTGGGCATCCAGTCCTTCACCCCTCCCCCTCCCTTGTGCTGTGGTTGCATAGGGCCCACCCACATCAGCTTTCTGTCTGCCAGCTAGAGTTTCACTCCACCTGCAAAGTCCCTTCACAGCAGGATCTGGATCAGTGTCTGACGGCACCACCAGGCTGAACCCCACCAGGCTGAACCCGGGTGCAGAATCCTGCCTACCACACAGAGGGGGGTGGGCAGGTGAGACTCTAGGTGGGAGCATGGAAGCTGGAAGTTCTCACGGTCAGCTTCGATGGTCTTCGAAACAGGGGTCAAGATTATAGTGCAAATATTGATAAGGCTCTTCAGTGCTCATCTTCAAAACACGTGCTGTATGAACTGGAGCTTATTTCCGGTCGGTGCAAGTTATGCAGCGTCTCCTGGATTTGTCGAAGACCAGGACTCCTCATGAAGATCAGAGGCGCTAACAGAGCTGTTCTCAAACATCTTGATTTCAAGATCCCTGAATACTCGTCAAGACCTGCAAAATGCCCTACCTTCTGCTGCTTGTTTATGCCAGTCTACACTGACCG